CCAGGGGGCCCCCGGGGGGCCCCCGGGGGGCCCCCCAAGAAGTCATCAGGAGAGTCGGGCCGCAGGAGAACGATTTGACGTGCTAGAGAGTGCTGCAGCGCAGCAGCAAACCCTAGAAGAAACCCTAAACCCTAAACCCTAGCGTGTTGAGGAGGGAGCGGGACGCTCCTGCTGCAGCTGCTGCAGCAGAAGTGTGCTGCTGCTGCTGCAGCTGATGCAGCGCAGTTCCCCTCGGCGACAGCAGCAGCAGCAGCAACAGCAACAGCAGCAGCAGCAAATTACCCAAATCGGTTCTTGCTGCTGCAGCGGCACGATCTGCTGCAGCTCTGCTGCGTTGCAGCGAAGGCCCACAAGGGCAGCGCAGCAGCTGCTGGCGTCTGCTGCCCACAAGAAGCAGCGCCGCACTTCTGTCTTGCTGCTGCTGCTGCTGCTGCTGCCGAAAACAGAGAGGAAGGGCTTGGGCTCCTGCAGCAGCTGCTGCTGCAGCGCTGCCACCTGGGCCAGGATCTGGGGCGAGAATCCCGAAGCGCCAGCGACTGCTGCTGCTGCTGCTGCGCTGCTGCTGCTGCTGCTGCTCAGAAGCAGTGACAAAGCCTGGTGTACAGACACTCCAACTCTCACACACAACTCTGCTGCTGGTGTTGCTGCTAGGGGCCCCACATCAGCAGGCAAAGGGAAGGGACAAGGCGGCAGCTGAGGGACTGCTGGTATGCTGCTGCTGCTGCTGCTGCTGCTGCTCGTTGCTGGCGTTGGCTGCAGCGCACAGACGCAGTCGCTGCAGCAACTTTCTCACGGCCAGTGGCAGCAGGAGTAGCAGCAGCAGCAGTAGCAGCAGCAACAGCAAAAGCAGCAGCAGCAGCAGCGGCGGGACAAGCAACGTGGAAGGGCAGCTCACGCCAGCAGCAGCGGCGAGCTGCTGCTGCAGCAGCTGCAGCTGCTGCTTGTGCTGCTGCAGCAGCAGCACGCGCTTGTAAGGATCTTCAACAAGGGGAGACAGAAAAGCAGCAGCAAGCAGCGAGCTGCAGAGGCACCCCAAATCCCCGGCGGAAGCTGCACAGAAACCCCAAACCCTAAACCCTAAACCCTAAACCCTAGACCCTAAACCCTAAACCCTGAACCACAAACCCTAGAATTTCACCGAAAACGCTGCAAACCCGAGTCCGCAAACCCACCAGGGCCCTAGGCCCCAAACCCTAAACCCTTAACCCTAAACCCTAAACCCTAAACCGTAAACCCTACCGCCTTCAATGGCCCCTGGAGTGTTGAGGAAAAGAGACAGCAGCAAATCCAGCGCTCCATCGCGGTCTGCCCAGTCGTCGCTGCAGACCCGCCGGCACAAACGAGGGTTTAGGGTTTAGGGTTTAGGGTTTGGGGTTTCGGGAGTTCCTGAGGGCTGCGAAGAACTCCTGTGCCGGCCGTGCGCTAGAGCACGGACTTTGAGTCCGCCCCAAAACTTCTCCAGGGTTTAGACCTTAGGGTTTAGGGTTTAGGGTTTAGGGTTTACGGGGAGAAGGCGAGGAGGGCTGGCAGCAAAGGTGCTGCATCTTGGGGCTTCAGCGCGGAGCAAATGCTCGGCAGCAGCCGCAGCATCTGCAGCAGAGTGCAGCAGCTAGGGTTTAGGGTTTAGGATTTGCAGCGCTTAGGGTTTAGGGTTTAGGGTTTAGCCCTCACCTTAGAGCCGTGCTCAGAAGGCTCCAGCGCAATCCACGCGCCCAAAAGTGTTGCTGCTGCTGCCAGCCCTTCCAGCACAATCGGCGGCCTGCGCAAACCCTAAACCCTAAACCCTAAACCCTAAACCCCAAACCCTAAGCCCTCAGCAGCAGATCCCCAGGCAGTGCCCATTGCCATGGATACGCAGCGGTGCTGCTGCTCTTGCTACAACCCAAGTTCTTGCTGCTGCGGCTGCTGCTACTCCACCTGCTGCTGCTGCTGCTGCTGCTGCTGCTGCTGCTTGCTGCTGCTGCTTACTTGTAAGTCAGTCTCTTGTCTTTTGCGTCTTCAGCCAAATCCAAGGCCGCGAGGGCCGCCTCTTGAAATGAATCAAAAATGTCGTGCTGCAGCAGCAGCAGCAGCAACAACAACAAAAATGCCAAGGCAGCAGCAGCAGCAGATGCAGCAAGAGCCAAATAAGACAGCAGCAGCAGCAGCAGTAGCACCAGCAGATGCATTAAGAGCCTGACAGGGCGATAGCAGCAGCAGCAGCAGCAACAGCAGCAGCAGCAGCAGCAGCAGCAGCAGAAGCTGACAA